CGTTATAACATTCCGGGCTCTCCACCGCGACGAAGTCGACCGATGTCGATTAATTCAATTTGTATATGGCTTGTATACATAGTTTCGTAGATGTGACAGCATAGCTATGCACGTGTATGCACGTGTATATCTATGAAATGGCCGAGAAAAATTACGCACATACGGCGCCTCATCGAACGATGATGAACTGCGCAGTTGTAGAACACCGACCACATCGATAAACGCAATGCCACAAATTACGATTCCTCAATTCAGACGTTGTAACTGCATCTGGCTCAGCAAAGCGGAGGAAACCGTGTATTTTAGATCCTCCGTAACTTTAAAGGGGTCGTAAAATGTCGCTCCTAAAACGACAATGTGAAACCGCTGACAGCCACATGAACGTTTTAGGTGACGCAAGCCTAGGGGGAGTAGACCTGCGTCGACGCTGATCGAGCATGGACGTTTTGCCACGATAATCATCCATGCAGGTCTATATACACCCGTTATAGGCTGACGTCAACTAAAACGTCACAGCGTGTGTGGCTGTCGGCGGTTTCACGCTGGTGCTTTAGGAATGACCTTTTCACGACCACATTTAATTTATCTACAGCTGCCGCTGCACGTTGGACCACGGTTGCTGGCCCGGAAAGCCTGATTTCCGCTTGGCGAGGGAGACTAGGAACTCGTAAGCGGTCATATCTTGGCAAGTTCAAATAGTCTGCATCATCGAAGGTGGATTTATCGCTGGCCGGTGGACCACGACGAAGGAGGATATTCTTCATGCCCACGACACGAATGCATGCTGCGTAGTTATGCGACGGCACGTGCTTCAAAAGGCCGCGGCCCGTTGTCCAACGAAGATGTTGTGACGTCACGCTCCAACACACGCAAGCCGAGTGTCTTGGTGCACGCTCACAAGAACATCGAAAATACGACCACCCACTTAGAAGTTTGCTAAGTGACGTTTTTCTTTTGGATGTAATCGCACTTTGGGAATACATTTTCACAATTTACGCAGCATTTACAGATTTCGGTTCAATATTCTTCTAAGTTTTTAAGCTTTGAGCTGGTATAGACGCCACCTTTAATGACACAAGTTATCGCGTGACAGTGGTACAACTATGGTAACGATCACGCCGTTTTGTAAAGGTAATTACCAACTGTTGCTTTGTTCCTCTTCAGTGAAAGTTTTAGGGGGGATTTAGCTAATCTCTGCACCTATACGAGTTTGTGATGATGACAGTTTTTTTCGTAGGCCGCACACGTTTCTGTGATACACACCCGTTTGTTGGTCTAATGCCTTCTTTACTAAGTGCCTGCGACGTCACTCGCTTATTCCATTGGGTCAAGAGGTCTCCGCAAGCAGCGCTTGCAGCCGACACTACTTCAGGTAGGGTCGGAAGTGACGCCATCAGAACATTGGCGCAGCGTCTCCCACGAGAGGCGTTGGCAGAATTTTTTTTCTGGGAGGCGGAGGGGGGGGGGGGGGGGTCATCTTAATGAAGTAGTAATTTTTTGCATTGTTTGCTACGTTGAAAAAGATTAAAAGATTGGAGGGGGGGGGGGGGGGCGTGTGCCACTTTTTCATTGCGCCACTGTTCACGGCTGACGCTGCCTTTGGGACTGCTGTACACGTTACTTGAATCTCGGAGGCATCGTGATTTGGAGCAGCCACCACAACGAGGTTTGAAGTGGCCAATAACAACGAGCTCTCGCAGCCGACACCCATTTCGAGGAGTGAAGGGGGCGGGAGCACGACAGGGCTGTCAATCGGCGTTTCGGGGCACGTCACAGGCAAAGTTTAGAGGGGGCATTGGTCGGACACCAGAAGCGAGTTGTAAGATTCGTTTAATGTCTGCGGCGCATACCCATTTATAATGCCCACGAGCATTACCACGGGTCCCGGACATGAAAGGCTCGACCAAAAACGGCCTTGCTGTTCAAAGAATGTTTCAACTTTCAGCCACGACAAGAAGTGTGCCAAGTAAAGCTTTACACGAGAACCAGCCCTGCAGCAAGCTTCATGAAGCGTATTCTATCCATAAATACATGCGGCTATACGTCCTTCCCAGACGTCTTCATATTGTCGCGAGAGCAAGGTTTCCAGCTCCAGTATCTTCTCAGGAAATTTGTGCAAAACCAACTCCTCTGCTTCTTTTTTAAGTCTTTCTTTGTACTCTTCTACCTTTGGGTTTGTTTCTCTGGCCATTACAGAGCTTCGGCTTTTGACTTTAATGGAATGTGGGACAAATCGTGTTTTCCAGCCTGGGACAGGCGCCTACACGCTGCATTTACGGCTTAAAAACGGAGCAGTCAAGGTCGCCCCCGTTCGGGATTAGAAGCGGAAAACTTACTAGGAAAAGCGTCTAGCAATAGGCAGGTCCGGCGCCACCGTCCGAGTCTAAGCCATTGTTAACAGGCACGCGTGTCATTGAGAATGACATGGGGACGCGACCACTTAGCCTGACCGAGACATAGTGGCGGCCGGTAAACGACCATATTCCCCCGCGCTCTTGTTAGGATGTCGGGGCACCTCGCTGTCGCATGTACACCTGGTAAGCAATGGTGTACCCATCGCTCTTAAGGACGTTTCTAGAAAGCAACAGTTAATGAAAGAACTTACGGGGCCCGAGCGTGGGAACGGCCGCCGACGATAGTCGGCGGAAGGAGGCAGCTCGGCCTGGCATGGGAGAGAGTGTCACGTGCGGAGGACCTTTCCCTTTGCGTGTTTCATTTTGGTAAGGAGGTTTTTACAAATGTAGTGCCTTTTATGAAAGTGTTTCTGTGATTGGTTGTGATGCTGCGAGTCCCAACATGTGATTGGTTTTTCTGAAGACTCTTTGTTCGACCAAGGGTTAAAAAGAGGATGTTTGAACTTGAAAAGTGAGGGGAGCGGAGTCGGGGTCAACGGCGGATCTCACCACGGGAGACCAGCTATGCGGGCCGAGGGGTATGCCACCACTTTCTATGTTTTGTCTTTGTAACCCAGTGCATTTTGTAACTTGAAGTTGTGTTAGCTAAATAAACCCCCAATGAGTGCTCCCCGAATTCATCGTGTTGACTTCTCATCGATTCCCTCCGCGGAGTTTCAACCACACTTATTCGTCTCCCTGGTCGTCCGATGCGCCTAACTTGAACAACCCCGACGTTTCGCTACAATATAACGACGTTTTCAGCATGACAAAGAACAAAATCATTTTTTCAGACAAAAAGAAACAACTCACCGTAAAAAGTGAAGCGAGCCTAATCAGTGGCACGTAATCAACGCATTCTCAACGCCTCAACACTCCCGCCGCATGTACGCAAGTCAGTGGACGCATGGAAAGCTGTCCATCTTTGAAGTGATGTGGAAGATAACCATACATCAAAGCCCGCTATGCGGTTCGTGTGACCACTCTGTACTCAAGTATGTTTCTCTACACTGCGTGCCGCACGAAACCCTCGAGTTTCTCGCTGAACAGCTGTGTGCGATAAAAGGGTTATCGCGCGAGCCCCGATAACTTTCGGAACAGGGAGATCAAGATTGCGCATTCTTCTCCCCCTCGTTGGTTGTTTCATGCTACAACCATCGCGCCTACCACGAGCTCTACACACTTTCTCTCTATTTTGAGCCTTCCATTAGTTGGGATCAAAGGCATCGCCCCGCCATGGTGGTCTATAGTGGCTAAGGTACACGGCTGCTGACCCACAGGTCACGGTATCGAATCCCGGCTGCATTTTCGATGAAGGCGAAAATGCTGTAGGCCCATGTGCTCAGATTTGGGTGCACGTTAAAGAACCCCAGGTGGTCGAAGTTTCGGGAGACCTCCACTACAGCGTTCTCATAATGCATATGGTGGTTTCGGGACGTTAAGCTCCCCCCCCCCCCCTCCATATCAATCAAATGCATTCTTCGTAGGGTCTTATCTTCGCAGGTGATTACAAAATTAGAAAGTATGTGAAACCTGGTGATTGGCCCTGTTTTGTTTATTCAGCTTCCCAAGATGGGGAAGGTTTTCAGGTTAAGGAACAACAAAAAGAGCGAGTGAAGCTTGCATGATACTACACTCTCTTCGAAAGTGTATTCTTGCTTACTGTATATAGCTTGTTTCTATAGGCTTTGGCTTGTGCCCACTACGGGGGACTGGCCATTATGCCGGCTTCTGACGTGGCGCTGTTGCAGTTCTTTGTCGACGCTCGCACGATTGTACAGTGGAAAAGGTTGAAACTGTGGTTTTCTTAGAGACAGTCTGAAAAAAAAACAACTGATAAGCACCATGCATCATGAGCTAAAGAAAGGCAATCTGTTGACGCAAGTCTGACTCCCAGCTTTCCGTGACGCACCGAGTGCTTTCGATGTTCGCGCAATTTCTTTCTCAAGGGTTGTTACGGTCTAACTTAATGCAACAGCCGCATGTGCACGGCATCAACATTATATAGCATCAATGCCAGTAATCGATGATGCTTATCTCACATAACGTGCCAATTTTTAAATATACCTTTTTTAAAAAAAAGGTAGGCCATAAGAACTTCGTACAACTATCGGTCTCGCATAAACAATCATTCCCATGTTTATCGTAATAAAGTATTTAGCAAATTTTTAACCAGATAATCGTGTCAAAAACTACATCTCCCATTAAAGGGTACCATGCCTAGCATGTGAAGCATGCAGCGCATTGGTAGTCTTTAATATTGCTCCGACCACGCGCACATGAACGCTCCCTATAGCTGGAGCATGCCTCACGGCTTCATCGCCACGTGACGCAGGACAACGTGGGTTAATCGCGCGTTTGAGGAATCTCGTTCCCCGACGGCATCACATGGTTGCTGACAGTGTGTAAGTGGTAGAAGCCACAGCGTCTTACCCAGCTCCTAACACGGACCGAAACGCGCTAGCGCGTTCTGTCAGTTGGGGTTCGCCGTTGCGAGTGCCAGCAAAAGTGGTTGTATACGCCCAACGGATGAGCTTCGCCATAAGCTGCTGCGAATCTAAAAATTTGGCAGAGGCAAAGCATTTCATCATCCAGCATTTCGCACACAATAAATTAACATAAACGGTGCAGTGAAAAAAAATCGACAGGCATTCAACTCAGTAATGCTAGCAAGTTTCTAAGATACCCATCAGTTCCAGGATCATGGGACGTCTCTTTCGGTGCTCTTACCATGGCGAGCTTGAGACGGTCCATTCATTGTGGTGGGCGAGGACTCTGCGGGTTTCGTTGTTGTTCATGAACAGAATGCTGTTCTAGCGCCTTAAGGGCCTCGTCCGACATGTGCTGGAAGGAATGCATCATGTTTCCCATAGGCGTGCTCAAGAAGTCGTCGGGCAGTTCACGAATATCCATCGGTATGGAGTTGCCGGTCAGGAACAAGGACAGGTCTTCGGAAAAATGGTTGCAGTTGTGGCGGAACAGGTCATACGAGCTGCGCCTGTAGCTGTACCTGGCCAGGTCTCGGATATACTCCACGCAGACGTCGTGAGGTAGCTCGGTGTGACCGAGGCTGACGATCCGGTGCGGATCCCCGAGGCCGGTCTTCCCCGCCGGGGAGCTTGTCGACGCCCAAGCAGCCGAAGTAGTACTCTGTGCCACGCAGGACGATGCCCGTGTGCCAAAGGCCGGAAAGTTCTTTGCCTATGAGGGCGGGGGACAGTGCCTTGACCATTCCGTTGGACAGGTCGTACACGTACAACAGTACTTCAGAGGCGGACTCGGCACGACCACACGACGGGCTTGCCATAGCCTGTGACACTCGCGGAAGACCGAAGAAACCTCAGCGCTTCGACGCAGTAGACGCTTTCAAAACGGCAAGAATCCGGGGACGTAGTCTTTGACGCTGGCAGTCACGTGGTTAACGTTCCATGCAGATCGTGAAACGTCTTCGTCTTCGTGCAATCGTCTTCCTGCGAACGTGCATGAAGCGACACTGATAACTGCTGCTTTTCGTGGAAGCGGTGAAGAGCGCCGAGAGTTTATGGGTAGTTTTGACGGTATTATCTGCGTGAGCTACGTCACCCTTCCCGCGATGGTGTCATGGTTCACAGAAGAATGCGAATGCACGTGTCCTCCGTTGGCCTCTGGCGTAACTTGTTCGTTTCCTCTAGATGCTTCCACAGACGATCGCTTGATCATGTTATTTGTGAGGTGTGCGGGCAGCAGGCATATCACAATTGTGGCTCTGCCATGCCGCAACGTGGTTGCTACTGCGAGACACCACACTTAGCGATATATACTGATTAGCCTAGATAGTCTGAACGATACTGCGGCTCATCGAAAAAAATGGGGAGGTGCTCGAGAACATAGCAACGCTTGCAGGTGCAACAGAATGAATGTGCCGTAGGTGCCAATGTGCCATTAGCGCGAAGATGTCTCAATTTTCGGCTTGGTATGCACGAATTGGATATAACTGAAAATGCAATGAACTGCAATTTCTAGCCTCTGTTCTGATTTATTTAGGCAAGACATGAATGGCCCCGCCACGGTGGTCTAGTGGTTAGGTACTCGGCTGCTGACCGCCGGTTGCGGGATGAAATCCCGGCTGTGGCGGCTGCGTTTCCGATGGAGGCGGAAATGTTGTAGGCCCGTGTACTCAGATTTGGGTGCATGTTAAAGAACCGCAGGTGGTCTAAATTTCTGGAGCCCTTCACTACGGCGTCTTTCATAATCATATGGTGGTTTCGGGACGTTAAACCCCAGAAATCAAATCAATGAAGAACATGAATGACCTCAGCACAAATATATTATTAATTACAAAGTCAATTGGCATTAATGGCTGAAAATGCAAATCAACATGAATTTTCGTTGCAATTAAACACTGAGTGCATTCGCATGAAGGTTTCTAAATTTGACGCATATACATACAGCTCTTGGCGCACTTTGATCAGTAACGTTTGAAAGGGTTAAGAACAAAAAAATCTGAGTCCACGGCGGTGGATCAGGGGCTACGGTGCTCGCCTGCTGACCCAAAGTTCGCGGGTTCGATTCCGGACGTTGCGGTCGCACTTAAAGGAAGGCGAAATGGTAGAGACCCGTGTGTTGTGCGGTGCCACTGCACGTTGGATATCACGGGAATGTCAATATTTCTAGAGCGTCCACTACGGCATCTCTCATTACCATGTAGTTATTTTGGGATTTAAAGCCCCGGGCATTATTATTAGGAAAGGAATCGGAAATGGGATTCCGGAGTGACCACGCACTACTGCATGGGTGATGTATCGTTCCCAAGACGGTTGAATGCGTTTAAGGGCTTTAGAATGCGTGCTCCCTAACTGCCGTCTATCATTTATGGCAGAGAGAGCCGCAGAGCCTCCGAGAGTACAAGCCAAAACTCGCGAGCCGTCTCGAAGGCAGCAATGTTGTGTTTTAGTTGGGTTGCAGTCTGAAAGATGGCAGAGCTAGACCGCTTCTGGAAAAGATGATGGAAAACTCTTTATTTTTTATTATTTCAGCTTTTTCAAGGCTAGCCGCCTTATTGCGCTTTCATATCGATCGGCCTAGATCGGCCATGGCGCTCTATGCGATTGACTTTGCAAAGTACGACGCATATTTTTTTAATGGCAGTGCCACCTAACGGGAAAAACATCATGTATAATGGTTGCTCTTTCTTCTGCCTGCCGACAGGCAGCAGGAGCGCTCTTTTTCAACGTTATTTGGTGAACTCTATTTTTGATCCCTTTTAAGATTCAGAGGAATTTAAAGGTGCAGCTGTTTTTGTGGCCATCATCACAATGAAATCCTCTTTCCTTATCCGTGAAATTATTGACGCCAAAGACCACGAACGAGTGCCACGGGCTAATGTAGTGCAAAAATCAGCAGATAAATAAATATGCACTACTCACCAAATGCGAAAAAAATCAACGTTCAATTTGTGTATTTGACCCAATTTGCCGTTTTTCCTGACGTAATCATATCGCTAAGCATCTTTTACAAAATTTGCTGAGTGAAGCTTTGTTGTAACGTGGCACAGATGATGCATTTGCTGTGCACCCATGCGCATTCAGTTTCGATGAACCTTTCATCTAAAGACGTTGGTTTCGATATCACCTAAACTCGGGGCCTAAAACTATGATCATTGCTATCTGAAATCGCATGTGCGTTTTGGAATTTTTGAAGAAATGGGCATGCCACGAATTGTTCCGTACAACAATTATGTATATAATGAACTGCCCCGAACTAATAATTAAAATGTGAACGTATTTCTGTCAACCACACATTCCAGTTTAACTTTAGCTGCGACAAATATTTCTGCCGCGAACGTAGTCATCACGTCCACAAACACGACGTCTACGCACACGACGGCTGTATAAAAATGTAAATGTCATTACATTCAACAAAAAAAGTACTATGTCGTGAAAAATACCAAGTGTTTGCAAGGCTATAGATCAGGCTTCTGCGGATAAGAAAGATAAACAGAAAGGTAAAGAAAGAAGTGCACCCCGGTAGAACAGTGACTTACCGCCGTATTCACAAGCGCTCCTCGACTCGACTTTCCCCCTTCACTTGACAAAGTAGAGCACGGCGCCGCTGCTCGGCTGAAAATGACGCTGCGCTATTCAAGAATAGCAGCAACTTATCACTGATATGCAGTGACCTGCCCTGCCTAGAGATGGCGCTCTCATCGGTAAGGGGCGTTCTAGAGTACGGGGGTAAGGTCCTCGGCTGCGAGGCGAAAAGGACATTTAAGACGCCCACGCGAACCGCGCATTCTGTGCAGCACAAATTCTAATAACCTGGTCAAAAAGTCTCATACGTCTTTTGGAACAGGATAATATACCGTCTTCTGGCGACAACACGAGTGCTTGCAATACTCGCATTGCGTCATTAGTACCACAAATATGAAATAAATCATTCCCAACTGCATTAAAAACGGCACCGAATGAATTCATAAAAATAGAACGCAGATTAAAGCAAAACCACCAATAAGATAATTATGAAAACAACGCATGGTCGGCTCAGTGCATGAGGTAGACCAAAAGGTGAATCAAGCATGAAATACGTCGGCTGAGAACGTTACCAACATCACAGCGAATCGTCATTGGAATGCATGCTGACCTTAGCCGTCAAGCCACCCTAGCACACAATAAGGAACCCGTGAATTGAAATCTTTAAATTCATGCTGCGGAACAGACAGAGGCGCAAAAGCTTTCAATTAGCTTTTATTTGTACAACGGTATAGACAGTATGGACGACAAATAGCTGCCGGCAGTAGGTGCACAGCACTCAACTTTCGAACACTTCGCCAAGGTATGGAGCCCATTAACAAAGCACCCTCGACGCGCGCATGCGCGCTGAAACGCTCGACGACTGCTAAATGGCGGTGATGATGGGACTGACGGCAAACTTGGTCGGCGCGGGCAGAGAACGCGTGGGTGCCGCGCCGTTGTGCCCTTAAAGTTGGCTTTGCCGCGTGAATTTGAACATTTGACGTACTTGGCACCACGTGACAGCGCTCGCCGAATAGCGGCATGAGCGGCGGAAGGAAAAAGGTACGTGCAACCATACCACCTAAAGGTAGTACATTCAGGAACTCTACGTACACTGACGTAGTAACTGTACATGTAGTGACGTCAGTAACTGTACATGTAGTGACGTCAGCGTACATTAGAAACCCAAACGTGCATTTAAAAGCGTGCTGTAATTAATTTTGCGGGTGCAACCGCGCTTATCGGTAGATTTCCTACGCCCTCAGGAGCTTGAAATATCATTCGACGCAAAAAAAGGGAAAAATGTAACTGAAAAATTATGTGTCAGTATCCCTTTAACTTCAATCTATTTGGGCTCAAAAAAAAGTGGATCAGTTTGGCAAATAATTTCCACCCCCCCGGATACAATGGCACTCTACTAAAATCACGGACGTATATGGAGCAATGTCTCACATAAAATAAATTCCTGAGATGCACATAAATAAGTACGCGTATAACTGCACCTGTCCTAAGGAATTGTAATTGCATCCGCGAATAAGCGCGAGAAAACGCCGTAAAAATTCGACGAGTGAAAAATGCTTTCAAAACTTCCGCTTCTAAGCGGTACTTATGTGGAACACAAAGGCTTAGCGGTAGTTTGGTACGCTCTAAACGGGGTACAGCGGGGCCACGTTCTTGGGCGCTGCAGTTCCCGGCGGGTAATACGGTGGCGGGTAGCTGTGTTGCTGAGCTGCCCACGGCTGTCCAGAGTATCCTTGCTGCGCTCCGTATGCGTTTGGCGCAGGATACTGCCACGTCGGCGTGGCCGCCGCACAGGAGTAGGCTACTGGAGTTCCACTTGTTGTACACCGCGGTGCTTGCTGCCATCCGAATTCGTAGCCGGACGGGTAGCCGCTGTTACCACCCTGTAAGTAAAGGTTGGTGACGTAGTTTCAGGCATCAACGTTGGTGGAAGGATTATTCAGAGAACCAAACGCACCACGACGCTGTTTCCCTATTTTCAGTGAACTTTAGCATGCGGATACTTCAAGAGGCAGTGGGGCGGCGCCAGTGTGGGGAGGGGGGAAGGAGAGGCGGGCTTCTAGTCATAATTACCGTCTGCAATCCCTGTGCACTTCCCCTCTTCCCTCACCAAGAGCAAGCATGGTCAAAACCACACACACGTTCCTAGCCTCTTCGCTCCCCCCCCCCCCCTTCGTGGAAAAATTATGGCGCAGCTTCTGGCACAGATAGAAAGAGTGTAGGAGCAATCGTCCGAGTCTGCTGAGCCTCGCTACGTAGGTACGCATAATTTGACATGATTAGCGCAATAACCTCGTAGTCAAGGCAAACTGCAGCGCAATCTTAACGCGTGATGAACCCTTCAGTCTACCATCGGAAGAAAGCATTGTCTGACAAGCCTTCCAATAAGACTGAAGTTCATGGAAAGTTCCGGCTAAAGCTGGCGTGAAGTCGTCGAAGAAGGTAGGTCGTTCGAGCCAATATACGGCGAAGTTGTATATACCTATAGGTCACCCGTAACTTCGCGAAAGAGAACTAATTAAACAGCAAACTCTATATATAGTAGGAATGTGCCACAAAAATTGGGCAAAGCCTAATACTTACTACTGCTCTGCTGAAAATAAATAGAAGAAAACGTGTGTATAAAAAAATAAAAAAAATACATTAATAAAAAAGTAAATAGGTAACCAAGCCGTGCGCTGCACCTCTAGTCCTTGCAAATCGACGTGCAAATGCTTACAGGAGCATACGCTAAGTTCAAATAAAGAAATCATGCCTTTCTGTAGCCTTCATCCTAATTTTGTGCCCACCCTGCGTCGTGTCCTAGACGGCTTCACTGGCAAATCCCCTTCCCAGAATAAAACTGCTCATAATTCTTTTTTTTTTCTTCAATATGAAAAGTTCTTATTCACGTGACGAATACCAGGTCCCCTCGTCGAACCGATGGTTCCAACGACATGTTTTGTGCGACGAATTCCGGATTCCTGCAGCATTTCTCGCGCATGTCATCACTACTCAGGATGCAAAGTCAGATTAAGGTCAGGTGGATTGTTCTGGTCCAGATAGAAAGGAAGAAGAGGAAATTAACCAGATGAGCGTCCGTTTCGCTAAGCGAATGGGGACTAAAAAGAGGAAAGAGAAGAGGGAGGAAGAGCACCGCACGTACTAAGAAGTACCGTCTGTCAGTCACTGAGGCCTGAGCAATGTAGTTAAGCTGCCCACGGCTGTCAAGAGTAACCTTGCCTTTTCGATAGAGGTGAAAATGCTGTAGGCCCGAGGGCTCACGTTTGAGTGCACGTTAAAGAACCCCAGGTGGTCGAATTTCCGGAGCCCTTTATCCACTACGGCGTCTCTGATAGTCAACACACACACACACACACACACACACACACACACACACACACACACACACACACACACACACACACACACACACACACACACACACACACACACACACAATTTGATTGATATGCGGGGTTTAACGTCCCAAAACCACCATATGATTATGAGAGACCCTGTAGGGAAGGACTCCAGAAATTCAGACCACCTGGGGTTCTTTAACGTGTGCCCAAATCTGAGCACATGGGCCTACAACATTACCGTCCTCAACGGAAATGTAGCCACCGCAGCCGGGATTCGATCCAGAGACCTGGGGGTCAACAGCCGAGTACCTTAGCCACTAGACCACCGCGACACACACACACACACACACACACACACACACACACACACACACACACACACACACACACACACACACACACACACACACACACACACACACACACACACACACACACACACACACACACACACACACACACACACACACACACACACACACACACACACCACACACACACACACACACACACACACACACACACACACACACACAGTAGCCTTACCGGCCCATTAGGGTCCCTTTGCGAGAACATTCCGCGTCGTCGCAGTATTCCCGCCACATAGAGCCCGACCAGGCAGGACACGATGATTAGCGCTACGACGCAGACCACCAACAGGGCACGCGGCATCCACATGTGTTCGGGACGCACGACGGACACCACACCGAAAATGACACTCCCTGATGTGCTGTTGCCGCCTCGCGCGTTCATCGGGCAAACGCCCGATGACGTAGCTGTCGGTTATCACCGTTAGCTCCAGCGCTCGATGGATGCGAGCAACGCTTTTCACACAGGCTTCGGGGCACACTTCGCCGAGTTCCTGCGCAGTTGCTCGCGCAGAAACTGAACGGGCGCTACCGGCGATGCCGGATACACACGGTACCCAACACACTGCGCAAAGCGGAGTGCGGGTTTTCGCGACGCCGACCTTGGCAGCTAAAACGCACAGCTACAGCTGCGCGCGTGCGCGCAGCCGTGACGAGAGGGGTTGCGTTCAGAGGGCACACGAGGTGCGAGTGTGGGATGTCCGCGTGGGGGTTTCGACGAGCGGAACAGGCTTTGCCGTGACCGCATGCACGCGTCACCAAGCGCTTGTTGGTATTGTGCGCGTAGCCGCCCATCGAAACGCAACAAGCATGCTTCCAGGCGCGGTCCGCTCGATACGCTCTAAATAAACGTCGCACGAATAACTGTCATATAACCGGCGTTCTGTTCGTTTCTTGGACGTCAAGAGCCCACGATACTTGCAGATCAGAAACAGTAAGCGCGCTATGAGCATGATATACAATATGCTCGACCAAGCGTACTTACTGAAGACAGTAAGAGCAAGCCAACCAGATGACAGTTTTCTGGCGATGACCGCTTCAAAGGTTCAAACTCCCTTGAGTGTGCAACCACTTCCGCTTACCTATTACTGTATAAAGAGCCCTTTTTTTGTCGTATATGCGGCTACAACGCCCACATGCAAATGGTATGAGAAGAACCGAGACGCCAGGAATGAGTAACAGTGGTTTTCGGTATATGATCGTGACATGATAATATCTGCTTACCGTGATTATTGCGTAGCCATGCTTGACAATATATGCAAGTGCCCCCCCCCCCCCTTCACAACAAAAAAGGAAGGGGGATTTGTAACCCTTACGGCCACCCCCCTAATGCTTTGTCATTCCACTGATCGTAAGCACTTCAGGGTGGCTGGAGGGGCTCGGAATTAGAGGGGTGGGGAGAAGCGACGTGACACAACGCGCGCCTATGACAAGTGCAGTGAGCGTGTTGATTGCCACTGCCTTCTATTAAACAAAGGTGCTCGCACTTTAAATCGGCGCACTCTACCTCGAGAGGTGTGGCAGTACCCTGGGCGAATGCGGCTGCAGAAAAACCACAGAATCTCTTCGCAGTTTGCCCATGTGTCTTATGCATAGGTTTGCTTGACTGCCGATTGCTTGACGCATTGCCCGATTTCTCCTCTTCCTGCTTCGGGCAAGCAGTAGCTACATGCTTGCAGTGAATGCTAACGCTGATCTCCCATACGTGAACCCAATCACTCAAGCTTTGAGTGGGTTGACAAAGATAACTGACAATCCACAGCTATATTGGAACACTAATTGTTGGCGGGACAGTTCTATACGTACTTAGCATGAAACAGTGCGCCTACACGACACAGAAAGCTATAAAAAGTACACATATGTGGCACTAGGCATGTATGCTTCTTTCTGTCCCGTATAGGCATGCTGTTCCACGCTCATCTATATCGGTCTCACACCTTTTTTTTTTTTTGACAAATGGGAAACGTAAGTGTATGCATAGTTCACGCTGTCTTGAAAACGTGGTGACGTCACTTAAGCGCCGTAATTGGTCACCACCTCATCACTGTCATCTTGTTGTTTGCTGTCGACGCGTATCCATCATCGCCACACCGACGTGCCGTCAAACGTCCGACACACGTGGAGGGTACTTTTCGGGCCGCCATAATAACAGCGCCGGCAACGTATACTCGTAAAGTGTTGTTGGCCTGCAGCAAGTGGCGTTTTATTTGTACGATCTGGAAGACGGTGTTGCGTTACTTTGCGAATCACGTTTGCGATTTGGCGCTCATTTTTATGTGCCTATAAAGATACACATTCGAAGCTTACTGAAAGAAAGATTTGAGAGCAAGAATGCATATCTCTACACCAAGGCACAAGTTGGATGCGGTATTATGCCTTCTGCGAAACTTACTTAGTTGTGTATGTTCGAAAATGATTCCCAGGGTTAAACTGCGATACATTTCACGGTTCTGTCTTTGTTATTTCTTGAATTTGAACTTACATCTTTGATTTTATATGCGCGCTAGAAACTCCATTTTTCAAGCGCATTAACACAGGTAATCCCATCTAGTGCAAATAAACTTAAGACTCTCTTCCGCGGCGCGAACTTCCCTTGTTGTGCAATGTATTGTACGACAAACGTATCCAATCGCTGATAGCGCTTAACTCTCAGTCATGTCTTTGTTTTGCCGCAGTGCACTTTCAAAGATGCATCACCACTCGTTTGTTTCTATAACACATGTGGAAGCCCAAAGAATATTCGAAAAATAAATGAATAAATAAATAAATAATATGTAAATAAATAAATAAATTAATAAATATATTACAGCTACATATTATGCTGACAATTATATGGCATTCACGACACGAAACCGAAGGGGCGTAAATTTGAAGATTCTCACGTTCCAAGACGACGATTATAGCTTCTTGTGGCAGCCTGTAAAATGAGCATCTGCCAGTATTAGCAAACAAATAAATGCGGTTACAATTGATGCAATAGGACCTATGTTTCGAAATTCACGGCTGTTCCAACTAAATACACGAAAGAAAAAGAAGTTGTATTCCGCGCACATAGAAATGAGCTACGGCTAAATTGGACACGTTTTTATATTGTAATTGCAGTCGTTTCCCAAATACGGCATTGCTGGTGTGCGTCAGTTTCCTTGTAAGCGTTGGTTCTTGAAACGTTGCCTGAAAAAGTCCCCTCGTTGGGAGTAAATTTCAGAGCGCCTGGACTAGCTCGGTGCACACGCGTGCTAAACGAATTATATCCGTCTGACTAAGCTTGTATAGTGTGCTGGGCATCCGCGTAGGTTCATTATAGAGGCTCGCGCTATATTGTAACTTTGCAGCTGCTGTGCAAGTTGTGGCGTGATCATAGAGAGCAATCGCTGAGCTTTTTGGGCTGGGCGCCACCCGTGTTTGTTCGTGTTGGCGTTCGTAGCGACGTCACTGCTGCGCCTGTGCACAGTGCTGCCCCTGTTTACAAGCATAAAATATGTCTAAATATGCGACCACGTAAAACTCCCCAATTTAGTCGACCGATTGATTTGTTCGTGGTGTAGCGATCAAGCTATGTCTTGACCCAGCGGGTCATTCGCCACACCGGATTAGTGCCAAAAGGACAGTTCGCCACGGCTGGACGGAGGAAGCAACAGAGGCCGAGACGGCGCCTACTGATTGACAGCGGCGCCAACTGTGTTGAATGTTGCCAAAGGGGGTTTTGGAGGGGCCGCTCTATCTCCCGCCTGGGCCACGCATCGTTAGCGCGTTAACCGGCAGACGACGACGGCGCTGGTCAAAGGGCTCTCCCCAGAGGATTCCACGAACCTGGCACCTCTCGAAAAGGCGCGCTAAGATCTGCTCGTGGGAACGCAGCCCGAGGCCGGCACCAAAGGGGTCGAGGCGCCCGTGCGTCTTCCGCTCTCCCCCTCCCTGTTCTACGGCCAGCGCTGCGACTAGTGGCAAGGGTGTGTGTGTGTGTATGCGCAAGCCTGTGTTGTGCCTCTATGAACAGACATGATGGGCGGTACCTCATTGAGAGGAACTGCCACATCACCATTGGTCCGCATTGTTTTAAATAGTGATCCCCAACCTAGGGACCTAGGGAACGGGGGTCAACAAAAGGGCGTGCAGTGCCTCGTCCAACGCTCTTCTCTTCTGTCTTCGTCTCGACAACTCACTGTAAAGATGTGAATAAATCCGTTAAGTTTGCTCAAAGCTCTCCCCTAGTCCTTGCCTCGACGCAGCGACGGCGACCGGCCCCGCTACCCGCAAACTGCGGTCGCCACGACGCGCAACAACTGGTGGCAGCGGTGGGATGCCATCAGCAGCGACCTTCCTTCAAAACCTTAACAACTGGATGGCAAGCGGTTGGATGTGAGCCTGGAGGACGGAGACATGAACAATATGCCGAGATCATGGAGACTGGCAGGTGTGGACTGGTGAGTGCTGGCTTTGGTTTTTTGGTTGCCAGGCTGATAAGATAGAAGTGCAATCTTTTCACTGGTAGAGGCTACCACAGAAGCAGTTATTTACAGAACTTCTGGGTAGAGAGTGAGCTGCATCACACTAGTTCTCTGTCATGGATTGGAAGCGTTTCTTGAAGAATCAGCTCCTGATTCTGGGGGAGGAGCTGGAGAAGTAGATGTGGGGATGACGAAACGCGCAATTGTTGCGCTATCGATGGCTTGAATCTGAGCAGTGAAGATATTAAAAAAACGTGGAACGAGATTCAAAAGCAACAGGAGCGTCAGGAAAGGCGTGAGGAACAGGAGCGTCAGGAAAGGCGAGAGCAAGAGAGAGAGCAGTGGAAGGAAAGCCTAAAGGTAAAACTGGAAGAGACAGAAGATCAATACAGTGCCTTAGATGGTCTCAAGTAAATTCGAGAATCCATGCATTCGAAGAGGGCGAGGATATAGAGATGTACCTAACCTCTTATGAAAATGTTTGCACTGACCTAGGGCTCGACGAAGACTATTGGTCTATCCCCTTATTGAGTGTTTTTCCGTGCGACTTAATTGGCAGAATAAGGTACCTTTCCGAGGAGAAGTTCAATAATTACAATGTAGCTAAGGCAGCCTTACTGCGGTGCTTCGGCATCAGAGTTGACCGAAAGCAAATTGTGTACAAGCTCACGAACGCTCCGTTGAAGAATGCGCGACGGTGTGCTGGTATTAAAACCAAGCCTGAGAGAGGTCCGCGTGTCTCTTATAGCACCAAGGTGAATAGTGAGCGAAAATGGGAGATAGAAAAACGGCAGCGAGGTGAAGAGCTTGAGCGAGCACTCAGCTTAGAGATTGAACTGTCGGAACAAAAAGTCGAGGCAACGCGGTGGAAGATTCAGCCATCCGCAAGTGTAGCGCACGAGAAGTGCGAGGTGCAGCCCAGAGCTTTAGAGAAGGCTAGCACGTTTAAAGACAGCAGCAGGTTTGATGAAGAACCGAATTCGAGTGCTGCAAAAGATGCTGCAATGAGTAGAGAGGCCGACGAAGGCCAGAGTGAGTGCGACGAGGTGCTGTGCCAGTTAGCTGTTAGCGAAACAGCTAGGGTACCTGTCTAAAGGCTGGGACAGACCTCAACTGTGTTTG